TATAATATGACTCCTTTAATATTAGATTTATATATCTATAATTTGTGAATTTTTCCATCAGGACATCAGTGACATCACAGTAAAATCAATGTTTTTTAAGGCTTTTTTGCCTTGAATCAATAGGGGTGACACAACAAAGATCCACAGTCTTACAAAGACAGATGAAGTAGATCATTGAAAGGGTTTGAATTGTAGTTGAGAGCTGAAAGGAGTTCAAACAACCAGAAGAAGAAGTAGACAGAACAGCAGAAAAGTGAAAGCAAAAAAAACATAAAGACAGAAACACTTACCATCAAACCCTTTGTTATGACAAAGAATGAGAAAAAATATGATATATTAATATATTATTATTATATATGAATCATTTCATATATAAAATAATAAGGCTTTAATTTCTAAAACTGTTCTTTGTTACATTATTATTATTATTATTATTAATATTATTTACATACTTTTTTTCTTAATAGATGTTAACGGCCTTCCAGACTCTGTGGGACTGAGCCGGTCCCTCTTTGTCAGAGATTCAAGTTTCTGAGTCCTGACGTACAACCAGATTAGTTCCAGAGTGAGTTTAGTCTAATCTGCATCTGGACAAAAGACACTGCCCGCTTTACAGCCCCCTTACAGCCCCCCTACAGCCCCCCCTACAAACCCCCTACAACCACACTTTTAATCTGTCAGGCTAGTCGTCTAAACAACCCCCCAGTACCCTATTTCTTTAACATGTCCCAAAAATGCTGCTTGTTGTTGCCATGGTGACACATTGTGAGAGAATGCCCCCTCCCCAGCCTGAGCCCCCATACAGTCCTGAGAGTCCCTGTCAGACTGATCCAGATTAGAGTTTAAACTGCTTCACTGTTAAACTACTTCCTGTTTTTCTATTTTGCTAGCATTAGCTGACTCTTTTATCTTTGAACCATTTTCAAATTGTGGTTGTCTTTTAAACATTAGCTTAGCACATAGCATATCTAAAGTTAAATTAATTCAATGTTTTGAACAAGGAGCAACAAAAGGTTATTGATTGTGAAGGAAGTTGTATTGAATGTATCTGAGGTGTTTGGGAGATTTCTTACCGCTAACTTGAATCTTCATGGAGGCCTCCAAAGGTCTGTTGTTGTCCAGGTCCCTGCTGAGCTGCAGCTCCCCGCTGGCCGGATTCAGGATCAGTAAGTTCAGCTTGTTTCCCTCCAAAAAACTGAACCTTAGCCTATCCGTCACATCAGGGTCCCAGGCCGGCACTGACCCAATCGATCCTGCAGGGAAGGTATCAGACTGGTTGGTGACATAGTTGTTGAAAATGATCTCAAAGTCGTGCAGGACAGGAGTGTTGTCGTTAACATCCAGCAGGTGGATGTGGACGGTGGTGCGGCTCACTAACGGAGCTGAAGTGGCCTGGACAATGATGGTGTACTTGGATTTGGATTCATAATCCAAGTCAGTGAGAGCGATGAGGTCCCCGTTGAAGATGTCCAACTGGAAGACTTCCGGGACATTTCCATCCATAATCTGAAACAGGATCTGAGCATTTGTTCCCTCGTCAGGATCCGTAGCGGCGATTCGAGCAATGACCGAACCAACAGGACTGTTCTCCATCACGTAGATGTCCATCTCTTCTTTCTCAAACACTGGAGCATTATCGTTGATGTCCTGGACGGACACCTGGACGTCCACCATCACTCTGAGGGGGGGACTCCTTTATCCATGGCGACCGCTTGGAGTTGGTACACCGCCACATTCTCTCTGTCCAGTTTCCTGGCAGTCCTGATGATGCCAGAGTACGGCTCAATGAAGAAGTCTCCGTCGTCGCCACTGTGGAAGGCGTAGCTGACTCTGCCGTTAGCACCGGAGTCGCGGTCTAAGGCGGAGATCTGCAGCACGCTCGTGTAAACTGGAGAATCTTCAAACACAGAGCCCTGGTAGAAGTCTCTCAGGAACTGTGGAGCGTTATCGTTGCTGTCCTGCACAATGATCTCAACGTACGTGGTGTCAGATTTCTGAGGGACGCCGTGGTCGTGGGCGATGATGGCAAGGGTGTAGGAGGCCTGGTCCTCAAAGTCGATGTCGGTCTGTGTAGTGATGGCACCTGTTCGTGGGTGGATTTTGAACTGCGGCACATTGTCCTCCATGATGTAACTGATGCGAGCATTCTCTCCCGTGTCTTCGTCCGTGGCACTGATGATGACAACAGTGGTACCAACGGGCTGGTCCTCACTCAGCATCACCTGGTAGTTGGTGCTCTGGAACACTGGTCGGTGGGTATTGGCATCGGTGATGTTGACATAAACCTGCACCACATCCTGCCATGTGCCGTCTGATGCCGCCACTGTCAGGACATACTGCCGCTCTTGCTTGTAATCCAGTGACAAGGCCAAGGTGATCAAACCACCAGCGCTCTGACTGGTGATGGAGAACCTGTTCCTGGTGTTTCCGCTGGAGATCTGGTAGGTCACGATGCTGTTGGCATCACGGTCGATGGCGGACAGCAGCAGCACGCTGGTTCCCACAGCGGCATCCTCGTTGATCTTCACATTGTACAGCGTCTGAGTAAATGTGGGGACATTATCATTCACATCGAGGATGGTCACGCTGACAGAGGCAGAGGATGACATGGTGGGAACTCCATGATCCACTGCTTCCACCCCAAATGTGTAAAACTCTTTGGTCTCTCTGTCGAGCTCCACACTGACCGTCACCCACCCAGTGCTGTTGTTGATGGCAAAGGGGAAGCCCAGCGCTGTGTCCGTCAGCCGGTACTCCAGGTGAGAATTGTTACCAGAGTCTGCGTCGATGGCTTGGATGTGGATCACAGAGTGACCGACGACCACACTCTCCAGGACAGATGCCTGGAGCGGTGTGCTGACGAACATAGGGGCGTTGTCGTTCACATCCACCACCTGGATGACTACGAGCCCGGTACTGTTCATGAGTGGAGGGCGGCCTCCATCCTGAGCTTTGACCCGCAGATTGTACTCCCTGATGGTCTCATAGTCCAGAGGGCTGATGAGGTCGATAATGCCGGTCAGGGAGTGGATATAGAATTGGCCCCTGACATTGCCACTGATGATGCTATAGTGGACTCTACTGTTGTCGCCCTCATCCTGGTCTGTGGCTTCCACCTGAGTCATCCTGCTGTTCACCATCATGCTCTCAAACACCTGGACGACGCAGCGTCTATGGATGAACTGCGGGTAGTTGTCGTTCTCGTCCTCCACATTGATGAACACAGTCGCCGTGGTGCTGCGAGGTCCCGGATCTCTGCCCTGGTCACTGGCCTCCACCATCAGCTGGTACTGTGGCACACGTTCCCTGTCAGGCCGCTGTGTAATCCGGACCAGCCCGGTCCTGGGGTTGATTTCGAATGTTCCAGCATTCTCCTCACTTACAATCCTATAGATCATGTTAGCATTGGATGGGGCATCTTCATCCGCAGCCCTGACGGTCAGCACCTCAAAGCCCACCTCCACGTTCTCCCTGAGGCCAACCTGGTACTCGGTCTGCTCGAACACCGGCCCATGGTCGTTGGTGTCGCTAACGGTGATGGTCAGGTATGCAGTGGTCGACCTCCTGGGGGCGCCGTTGTCTGTGGCGATAACCCTGAAGATGTGCGTGTCCTTGACCTCCCGGTCCAGCAGCTGCAGGGTGGAGACGCAGCCAGAGTTCGGGTTGATCTGGAAGTAGTTGTTGGACCGGCTGTCGAACAGAGCCTCCAGGTCGTAGACCACCTGGCCAGCGGCTCCAAGGTCTCTATCCAGAGCTTTCAGGGTGATGACTCGCGTTCCCATCGGCTCGTTTTCGGGTACCGACACCTGATAGTTGGGCAGCTGGAACTGAGGAGCTGAGTTCACCGCTGCACGTCTGCTGCGCTCAGAAAACACCTGAGTGAAGTCAGGAGGGGCGGGTCTGAGCGTCAGGAACACGGGGGTGGGGGTGGAGGTGTCTGCATCCTGCAGTGCACACACCGCGTCCACCTCAGACCTGAAACACTCACTAGAGAGACTATTCTTAACTGCACAGGAGATCTGAAAATGTTTATTTCTGCGCAGGAAACGCGGCAGGTGCGCGTGAACTTTGTTCTGCAGGTTGTCGGTGGAGACGCACGTGCCGGACTGGAGCCTCATGTGAACACTCACCGGGTTAACGGACCGTCCCCCGCGTCGGATCACACAGTCCCGACTGCGGAGGATAAACTCGAGGCGGATCAGGATGGACTCATGTGGTTCAGTCTGTGATCGGACCTGAACATAAACCGGAACAGAGTCTCTGCTCCGGGATGCGCAGTCCGGCTCTCCAGACAGAAACAAGATCCCGGTACGCGTCTGGATGCGGACGAAGCGGCGGACAGAAGCGGGAGTTAAATCCTGGTCAATGTGATAGATCCAACCCGGTCCTACCGAGGCATTGAGCAGCACGAACCCCGACCTGGACCCGGCCTTCAGCCAGACTAGAAACAAACAGAAACAGTAAATCCGTTTCAGAGAGAAATCCATGACTGAGACTCTAAACTGTCCTCATACTATAGCGTGGTGTGAGCTGTTTGTAATGTATAGTTTTAATTACCGCAATAAAAATGGAAATAGTTGATGAATCTATAACGACGCCTTTCTATATAATAAAGTCTCACAATATGTAAGCTACGCATAAGAGAATGCACTAATGACTACCGCATCTGACTAATCCTCATTCGCTCTGAATATCTTTCTTCGACTCTAACTTTCTCATGTTACTCGTGATCTCTGTATGCTCTATCATAGCCCAATGTCATATGTCGTAGCAGTATCAAGAGCTCACGTCTCACTCCGATGGAAGTGTGTTCACTACTGATGTGATGCCTTCTCTCTGAAAATATATTTTTGCACTCTGCTCTGCTCAACGAGTGCTTGCTGCTATACTACGCGGAACTGTGGGTCTCTTAAATGTAAAAGGAGGCGGCGCGGTCTTAGATCGTTGATAAGCTCAGTAAAAAGTTTCTCTGGAATAACTATCATTTAATACCGATTTGACCTTAGTACACCATAAGTATAAACGACAGCCGATGCAGTAGTAACTGGAAATGTGAGAACCCACTAGCTGGAGTTAGTCAACATACAATCAACATTGCATGCATAATTGAATGAGATGATAGGGGATGTTAGCCATGGGTGGAGCGAAATGAGGGGAGAAATGAAAGACGCTGGAATGTGAGCTGCGTTGTGCATACAGTGGATCTACGGCCCCAGGAATAACAGGGGAAGTCATGTCCATGTATGTCACGGAGGTCTCCCTTT